AATTAATTTTTATCTTGTAATAAGTAAAATTATCAGTCCGTCGCTCACAGGCGTGTCTTTAGAAAAGGAGAAGTAACACGAGAACGTTTCCAGGCTTATACTAAATTTTGAGGAAGTTAATGACACATCGTTTTACACTACATAGTTTTCAGCCACTTTTTATTCCTGTTTTTTATAGTGAAGTACAAATAACTCTCTATAACGGTGAAATTCATCGCGGAGAAAATCTAAATGCAATCCCATCTCTGCTTTTCATTAGAAAATATTTATTTACCAAAGAAACCATTCTCATTTCGTTCACCCGTTGCAGCAGTAAAGTATCCTCTTTTGCTTGCCCCAGTTTATGCTTACCCGTTTTTCTCAAAAAAAAAAAGCTAGGAAGCAATACCCAGCACAAAACGTAAAAGACTATCACGTAGTGAATGCTTTCGCTGAATACAAAAGGGTAGAAATCGTTGGCGACCCGCTTTTTAGATCTACGGCGATGTATCAGTGGGCTAAAGAACATTATGTGATTCCGTCTGCATTACAGGCCTAGTTAGGAGACCACGGTGCTAACAGGGATACTCGAGGGCAATTCTCCTTGTACCGGTCTGCATCTCTAAACAATGACGGTTTTCGAGATACAGTAAAAACATCATGATGTGTATTGTCCTTTCGAGTTTGATTGCATCGCAAAAAAATTCCGTAATAGGTGAAAAAGTAACGGAAAGCAAATAATTATTAATGCATATTCACTTAAAAAAAAAAACTGTGTGAAGTTATTCATACAATTGCGAGGTCTATTGTTACGGCAAAAGATGGGAAAATAAGAGACATAATTCGAGAAAAATACACAGAAACAACAAAAGATGACTAAACGTACGAATAACCTAAAGGCGTTTACCTTGTGGTGCAGGGTAATTATCACATCAGTTGTAATTTTTATTTAGAGTAAGAAATGCTGTGTAAGAAAAAAAACACCCACGGGGTAGCATTCACGCCGATCAGCTCTTTACTATTACACCCGTTTATAGGGTTTTCACACCACCACGGCGATAGCTGTGCGCTAGGGGGCTTTTTTCTGATAACACAAGAAAGGGCCCGCTCTGGGCTACGATGGCGAACACCCTACTGGAGATAGGGAGCGGGGTACCAATGTGGGCGATCGATATTCGTAGCAGGGCTAGAGTCGGGAAGAAGCGGGGCCCAAGAATAGTCCTTATATATTGGGGTTTTCAGATCGGATCGCACGTCCCTGAGGAAGGCTGAAGAATCACACGAGGCCCCGGCGTCCAGGGAATGCGCCCTGCTGAACGTGCCTCCGTTAGCAGCGGCAGGGCTTGACATCCTGCCGAAGTATCCTGTCGATAGGTCATTAGGGTGCTTGACTGGCGCTGACCCCATGCTAAATTTGTCCTGGGAAACGGGTGCCATAGCATCGGTCGCACCCGGATCCACCGTCATGGTGCGAAGTTGGAACGAAACGCGCCGATTAGACAGCTCGCGCGCGATTTGGGTTGATCGCTCCATATCCCCTGTGGTCAGAGCCATCTGCATCTCCGAGAGCAGTTCCTCCGAAGAGAGTTCGCCGATGGAAGCGCTCGACGGGATAACCGGATTCCCCAAAAAGCTCGATAAAAAGGAGGAGGCGAATCGCACAAATGAGGAAGAGGCCCAGTTCCAAAGGAAACTGCAGTAGAATCGGGTGCTCTCCACGAGGGTCGGTGGCGGCACGAGGGGAAGAGAGGAATCCATCGTAGCGTGGGCGGCCGTCGACGCCAACCGTCGCCCTCGTTCCGACGCACGCGCCGCCAGCCTTTGCCGAACCACCGGGTCACTCATCTGATTGGCAAGGTTGGTGATATAGGCGCAGTCGCGGTCCTCCCAGATGGAGGGATCGTACGGCGGAGCGTCGTCCTTTACCGTGCGATGACAAGCAAATCGGTCCGTAGCTGACATCTTCCAGTTTGCTATTCTAATTTTGTCCCAACGTGTTCTTGTTCTTTTGCAGGTCGATACGTTCTAATTATCTAAATTGTTCTGAATAAGGGAATCTGGTCCTAAGGCAAGTTCGTTACACTCGATGGTGTTGGGATTTGGTATGTGAGCTATGGGTCACCACCAAGTACAAATACTTTGAAATATTTTGAAACAGAATCACAAAAAATTCAACAAGAGAAAAGTGAAATGAAAAGCGTATTTCATGTGAATGATGCAATTCGAAGCTACTTAAATAATTTGTCAAATGCAAAAAAGAAGAAGTAGATAAACAACACCGGTTGCAAATCAATTATGCTCCGCTACTACTAGGCATAAGAAATCAATAGGTATGATTCGGTATAGCCAATAGTGGTACAGATGCCTATTGAGTTTAAATGTTTTTCGGAATTGTATACATCCTAAACATCTCCTTTGAACCTGTGTTGGCCTAACTTTACCAGGTCACATTCCACGAGTCCCTATTGAGGGTCTTGAATGCTGGAAGGGCTTTCCTACGGTTCTGGGGTTGGGTCATGCGCGCGAAGCGTGAAGTCATTTTGGGGGCCCCAGCGTACCGTTGATTCCGCCGCAAAATTTTAAAGAACAAACGCTTGCTAGGTGCGTTGGGCAGCATGGGGACGGTATGACCGGCGTACTGCGCAATCTCACCTTCCGCCAGTTTTCTGGCAAGTGACTTTTCAAACAGCCGGCGCTTCATGTTCTCGGCTTCCACCACGCGTCTCTGCATGTTGCGCAGGAGGTGTTGGGAGCCCCACTGGTGCGCCTTGCGGTAGGGGTCTTGGTTGCTAGGCAAGAACAGCGGGCCTGGCAGGTCCCAGACCTTCGTTTCGGTCCCAGCCTCGAAGGGGATCGTTACCGTGTCATGGACGGTGCCAAGCCCGTCGTCAAAGTCGGGGTATATATCCTGCAGGGACGTCACATACCCCGGATCGCGCTCTCCCAGTCGATCCCACAAGTCCTCCGGGGCGGGAAGAAGCGTGAGGTTCTCTGCGCCTACGCAGCGCGCCTGTTTCATCAGCTCCGTGATGGCGACATTCGCGTAGCACCCCCGCTCCAGGGCAAACTCTAGCCTTAAGGTACGAGCCTCTATGTCATGAGTGAAGGAGAGCTCGATGGGGTGTCGAATGATGGGTCTCGGCGGCTCACGGAAGTCTTGAAGGCCGGACTTTGAGTGTTTGGCATTCCAATCCAAGTGGTACCTATCGCAAATGTGTGCATAATATAAACCAATTGCGTTCTCAGGAAGTGAAATACCCTCAAAACTAAAACCGGGGTGCACGACATCGTTAATCGAATAGAGATGGTGATTCATTGCGTCCACAACGTCGCTATGTTTCTGAACGCACTCCACGCGATCCCAGGTGTTGCTGGAAGCATTTCGATACAGTGCCGGCATAACGAAGTCTCCATCGAGCACTTCATCCGCAGGAAAGTGTTGCAAACGCAGGGTTAAGACTTGGTTCCACAAATAGCTTGACAGCCTCTGCGCGGTCAGTCGGCGGCTTTGTAAATGAAGGTCAAAGTACGCCTCACGGAGCTGAAAAATTATAAGCTGCTGTTTTTGATTCAGAGATTCGCCGGCACTGTTTATCATCTGAGGTTCGCTTAGCGACGGTGTGGATAGAAAGGGCTCCTCGTCAAGGTCCTTTGGTTCTATGGCGTTCTGTCGAAGACGGCGCACAACATTTCGGCGGTATTCATCCATAATGGGGTTAGGGTACTTCTTCTCTCGCTGCAACAGCTGCCGTAGAGTGCGACTGGTGGTTGTGTAATTGAGAAAGCAAAAGGCAAATCCAAGCCAGTTATGGCGGAGAAGCGCAAAGGCGGCATCCTCCTTGCCGGCAAACCACGAAAACCTCTGGCATCCGTAGTAGTTCGGAAAACCGTGTGTCACAAAGGCGTTCACCGCGTCCTGTATCACGCTCTTAGAGGCCTTTACGTCACGTAGAAGAATCTGGAAGTGGTTCCCAAATAATTCACCCGATCGCAGAGGGGTTGTTTTGTAGGAAAAATCGGATAGCGTAATATTTAAGCCCTTTCGACGAAAAATGCGGTTAGCCTGCAATGCGGAGTGTGGTGAGATACCCTTGACACGTACGCGCTGCACGGTGTCGCCGATGTAGTCTTTGATCCCAGCGACGCTGATGGTTCGCGGGTGAACTCGGAGCACCTGGGCGATGGCGGACAAGGCCGTGCTGTGCGCCACGTGTTGCTTGTGCAACGTGCACTCCAGGTAGTGGTGCGACATGGAAGGCTTGGATTCCCAATCGAGATTGGGCAAAGAACCATCTGCGTTAGGTAAAAGTAATTTTTTGCGTACCACCGAACGCTGCTGTTCGCGTCGGTGCAAAACGGTTTCTAGTTCTTCAAGTCTGTCTAATTCTTTCTTGCGCTTTTCAAAGTTTAGTTCATCATGGACTGTTAACGCAATTGTATTGTCTGATAACGCTGAACCGTGGTCAATTTCCCCTTTACGGGGCAAACAAAATCTTTCTTCTTCTTCACAAACTCTGTGGCCTACGCACTGTAGTTGTGGTTTGTGTTTCAGATACCCAAGAGCCTCGCACCGCTGCGCTTCTATACTGGTAGCAACATCTACATGGAAAAAGGAAACTTTATCGTGATCCAAGCGAGTGTCAGCAACATTCACCACACCAGTGTTCGCATTAGTTGAATACTTTTCAACCTGGAGAGCATTTTCATGCACTTGAGGAGCGTTTCTATTTGCATCATGTTCTTCGTCAATCGTCATACCAAAAAGGACATCAGATTTTGATGTCTCCGGCTGCACGTCGTGTTTCTTGTTGAGGTTATCCTGATTTGCCACACACAACGGTAGCGGTGGGATAGTGAAGGAATAATCTCTCGACAGAGGTCGACCGCCGCAGCGGCATGCAATATCCACCTCCATCTCCGTCACGGAAAAGTCTTTCCAGTGTTGCCTAAACAGTCCATCAAACCCAGGAACACCATCCGGGGCGGCACAGGCACCCATTCCAAATCGGAACAGCACCGCTTTTTCATCCCAAAATGGGCTTTTTGAGAGACTGAGAAGATCAGACCAGATCGCAGTGGTGTCTGTTGTCAGTAATTCCTCTTGATACAGTCTCTTCCTACGGCAATGCCGCCATGCCTTGTGAATGGCATGAACTTTTTCAATAGGGGTAAAAGGGTGAATGCTGTCGACATCCTCCACGGGTTCGGCATTCACCCCGAAGCGCACAGATCGAGAAACTGGAATAGGCGGCACGGACGATGATGCAAGTGTCGATGAAGGAAATCTAAGCAGCATCGGTAAGTTCGATTCCACGATTGCCTTTCGAGCTGAAGTAAGCACGGGTGTCCTCGAGGCCGCAGGATGTCGTAAAGGCCACTGCAGCGTTTCGAGTGTTCTTGCCTTGGGGTTCCGCGACTGAACGATTGCGTCGTCCATCTCACGAAGCTCGTTCGGCAAACTGCAAGGGGGTGGCAACGCTGACGTCAACAAATAAGGATCCCTCCCTTGTGTTAAATTGGACGTCTTACTTACACAGGCGTTTGTATCATTATTTTCTAGCGACCGCTTCACGCTATTCCGTCTGCGCGCATGGGGGTAACGTCCCAAATGATAGGTAAGAACATCGATTCGCTGTAGCTTCTCAACTGATGGTATTTCGCACCACCACCGGGACCCATGCTCGGAGTCACGATAAAGAACAGAGGCATCGCTTTTCCGGCGATGTGCTGATCTAAGAATGGAAGATGGAGGGACGCAGTTCCACTTAGATAAAAATATGCAAAATGGTGCCAAAGTTCTGGAGATGCATCGCTGTGGATGCATTCACGCTGTCAAAAGAGGAAGGATAAAATGAACAAAAAAAAGAATAGAAGAAAGGGAATTCTTTTTTTCGAAGAGTCCATTACATTTAATGAAATTATCATCAAAAGTGTCATATCTAAAGGATGACATTGTTAAGTTATATAAGGATACTCATACCCAGATACAAGCGTGTGTATACATATGTCCATACACCTAGATTTAGCGTTTTTTTCTTTCCTAGTGTTTCCCATTGAATTGTAAAGTACCATAGTTCGAGAAGTCGTTCACCAGTACATTTATATGGAAGGAAGCCACAGAGGTAAGGTTGTATTATTATATATATATATATATATATATCTAAATAAAAAATACCCTGACCGTACTTTGAAAGTATCACTTTTCAAATCGAGGCGTGACCTGAGGCAAGCGTGCGGTTTCCCCCATCATTTTTGTTTTTTTCCAACAATTACTACGAAAACGAGTGTTTCGGAGAGTTGGAGTGTTATAATAAACATTTAGTAGACCGGACTTTGCCGAAGTCTTTCTAGATTGAGAATTGCTCGAATGACGACTTTTGCTATTTGTCTGCAACAATTTTGAAGAAGCAGGTTCACTCAAGACTAAATTACCATCCACTAAATTCGAGGGTGAGGTCGAAAATGTAGTGTTAGGATTGCTTCCATCTCGCATCATTTGGGGTTTTGCGGCTAACGATAAAGATCTAGCTTTCATCTCTAATAAACGCGTTGTAAGTGCGTTCATAAACTGCCGTTCATAGTGGTTTTGAACATCAACGTCAATAATGCGTGTATTTTCCTCTTGGTCTGGAGTGTCAACCTCACTCATTACCACTTCATCCACTGCTGCCGGGTGTGTGTCCCATGAATAGGTACGCACAGCACTGCTACTGCTGGGACGTGCTGATTTAAGAAAAAATGTGCGCTGCTGCTTTGCCGTTGAATTTGATAAGAAAATTCTTTCAGCCTTGAGAAGACCAGACATATTGAGTGGGCAACGGATGGGCACCAGATTCCCTTCCTCACGGTACACTCCTGCCCGCGCAATGTACCCATACCAGTCGATAAGGCTGTGCACATCCAGAGCCGCGGGCGTACCGGGGGCAATCGACTCAGCCGGTCCAAACTCAACCCCCTTTCCAGCGCTCGTGCAATTGTGCGAGACCACTTCAATCAACGGCAGAATGCGCTTACAAGAAGAACAAGAGACAAACCGCATCACGCCCATCACTTGCCAAGCCCAAAGCTCGACCGCGCGACTCGCCAATTGAGGCGAAGGTGGCTCCAAAGATACCAAAAGACGGGAGGGTGTGTGGGTCGTGAGGATCGTGCCTCGAGGACTCATACAGGGCCACCCCCTTGGAGTGACCAGCCCTGTACACAGGGGCTCCTTCAAGGACGACGAAAGCGAGCTTGAAGGGGTCCGCCCATCGTTCGGGGAAGCCCCCTTGGTGGTTGTAAGAGCTGTACTACGAACAATACGTCTGTACTCCTGGTTGTCATAGAGAATACCACAAAGGCAGCACCATCGCAGCCCACCATTTTTTTTCCCCTTGAACTCATTGTATGACGTGTCAATCTCACTTTCGACGACTCCTCCCACACGGGATTGCTCCTGAGAGCAAGATCCTTTTTTTGACAGCATACTCAATCGTGTGGAGCGCCGTGAAGCCCCCTTATTGCTTAGGGTATCGCGTGACTTGGGTCGTCGAGGGGTTGTCTTTTTCAAAGATGGTGCACTACAGTCGTCCTCGGGGGGACTCATCGTTGGGAAAACTGTGTAGTCAACACGGTCAATCACCCAATGCCACAGCATAGACGTCATGAAAGAGCGATTAGGATGATTACCGTTCACAAATTGATGAAGGCGCAAGTACCACCGAGCCAGATCCGCGTCGGTAATGGTGCTGCACAGGCGCCCAACTAGTTCCCCCGTTAAACAGTTCATGTCTACATCGGAAAGGATAACCTCGACAAAATGGTTGCACAAATAGTGCAAAGCAACATCTACTAAGTCGTTCATGAGTAAAAAATTTGAGGAGAGCAATATAGACACAACAATAGAAGGCTTCAACTCCGGCTTTTTTGACGCTACCATCCAATCAAACAACCAGCTGAAGACATTAATGTCACAGTTCACCTTTATAGAAACTGGCTCTATCGAAGATGAAACGCAGCTGGAGTTGGCAGGTACAATGAATCCGGTAAGATTGTCTTTAGTTTCGTTTTTATGACATTGATTCGTGGCTTCAAGCTCCAATTGTTTTCTAATAATCGTGTCAAAATACTTCATGTTGCAGAGCAATAGATCGAGATCACATCGAAAGTTAACGATGCGTTTGGAAGCCGTATCATGCACACTAATATCTACTGGACGAGAGGAAGCTACTGTCATTTTCCTTAAATCTTTTATAAAAAAAAAGTTTAATGAAAAATGTCTTCGGTATATTAGAAATATAGGGACCTATATTAGAAATTGGATGTAAAAATGAATGAATTGAACGTTCAATGATTGTTTTAGCATGCTTATTCGAATAACAGCTTTTACGCACAAAATGTTGGCTAGCACATAGGAGATGAATTCTCAAGGGAATGAGAGATGTGGAACAAAAGGATTTTTGGAAAGCTGTTGCTTAGATGCATTATGGTATGGATAACATGCCAATAAACTGCACTATGCATGACTGCTTTTTTTATTCTGGATCAGTAATCATTACTTTAGTTGCTCAGGTTGACGGACAATTGGTGCAAATAAAACAGCTTATTACAGTAGCGATTATAATTACAATACTGTGGATAAGGAAGAAAGCTAAAGTCGCCGAGTGTCGTGCTAGCTTCCTTTTGCATCGAGCCTTGACTTTGTTCTGAACCTGACGGCAGACAACTTGCTTCAGAACTGGAAGTGGGAGTTATCTGAGATGTCGGAAGCGACGCACATCCAGTGTAATACACATGTGTGTGACCAGATGCTTGTGACTTGGTGATCGCCTCCATTTCTTCAGGAGTACCTACAAGTAATGATGTGGAAGTAGAGTTTGTTGATTTGGATTTGTTGTCCATACCTTATCCAATATATTATTCCTTGTGTAAAAACCTTAGTTAAAGTTTATGAATTAATTCTTTGATATCTTTCAATATGGGAAGGATATGAAAGAGGGAAAAGTTGGCCGGTACATGTCAAATGCAATATAGTACCATATGGAAATTATTCATTTTTGAAGAACATGAATTATAGAAATTGAACTCTTACTTTTGATGTCAATTATCCATATATTTTTTTGTAGAATTGACCTCCATTAAGATTCACCTGAAGCCTATACAGCGCGAAAGCTAAAGATTGGGAACTCTGGAATATCATAAGGTATAAAAATATTACTTATACATAGGAATATAAATATACTTGGATATTTCATCTTTTATAAGTATGTGTATCCGATCTTAAAGTGGGGAAAGGGAAAGATTATACAACGAAAATTTTAGACTCCCTGGACGCTATAGTGAAGATATGTGCTTCCTATTATGCAACAGGGTCGCATCTGGATTTTACCCATTTTTCCAGTAAAATGGGATTTGTGCCATGGCAGATTACCTGTTCAGAGCACTTTTCCTGGCAAATTAAAAAGGCATGGAGGGGGCTTACAGACGTTGTGTAGACTGAGTCGCTGTGGTCACACACCCAGTGTGAGCCCTCGAGAATAAAGTCAGGTTCGGTATTGTTAGACTTAATATGATATTTAGATCAAAATAGGACTCCATATTACATGCATCATCGTAGGAAGCATCATAAGTTGTCATAAAAGTCTCACTGTAGCAACTGCTTCTGAATTGACATTCATTTTGCTGGTAGCACTCCCCTATTCACATTGAAACATATTTTTCAGATTTCACTTTCTCTAACTTTTGAGTAGGAAATTAACTAATCTGTGATAGAAATGTCTAAGTTTCTGAAAATCCCTATTTGTTCGATCTGAAAAATAGATGTAAAATCAGGAAGCAGGGTAACATTAATATGTTAGTTGCCCCTAAAATCCCTAGAAAGAAAAAACAATTTTCATCGGAGACCTCATGGAATTGAAAAGCGACAGGATAGATGAGGAAAGCTGGGTGTTGCCGATAAAGTCAAAATACAAAGATGAGTATTAAGGTGAGGCAAGCAAAAAGTGCCGTTTTGTGTCAGAAAAAACAAGTTTTATTCCCGTGTAACAATGTTGTATCTTCGAGTTTGGCTGACAAACTGAAGGCAGGAGAGTAAGATGAAAATCCTAATATGTTAGAGTTGATCACCACAATTTTGTTTTGTTTGCAAGGTTGTTATAGCCTTTTAAAGTCGTCATCTCTGTAGTAATGGCAGTTGAGTATGAACCCAATAAACCTACGTATTTGTCATGAGATAAAGTGTAGGCAAAGGCAATGAGACATTGCACGGAGAATAATATAAGACTAGCACAATACAGTGTAACTGATTCCTTGTCAACCTCTACCAGTTGCTTCTCACCCAAGCACATATAAAAATAGCAGAGATCTTGATCGATCCTTGCACCGGTAGGGAGCACACAGTCAAAGACAGAAGTTAGAAAAGCGTCTAAAAGTAATGCAAAGCACTTGCGTCACGACGTATCCCCAAGAACTTCTAAAGGATAAAGAAACCACATTTTGAAAAATAATTGGGAACTAGTGGCAGAAGTCCCTACCTTAGTTTTGATGTCACAATCAAGACGCTACGTAGCAAGATTTCTCGACTTGGAGTTGAACCCATGGTGGTATTCAAAATATTATGGATACTTTTAACTAGTCGTTCGCCTTTTTATGATACAGAAGTGTTATATATTTTTTAGAAAAATAAATTATTCTACTTCTAATAATTATATAAACGCACTTATATGCTTTCGGTATGGCACTAAAACTATTTTGATATTGATTTTTTTTTCTACATTCCACACGCTCTGGTTCATTGTTCTATTCCACAACGTACTAATTTTTCATTAGCGCATATTTTAGGTGTGTATTGGGGCTTAGTTTAATATTAGATCCAGTGGATATTCAAACGCATAAATGTCGTATGAAAATGTACCAGTGGATTTTATTTTAACTGTGTACGAATATAAAGTAGAAAGGATACAATGGAATGATGTAAGCTCAGATAAATTAAGCATACTTTGCAAAACATGCGCATTTAATTTAGTGTATGAAAAAAAATCAGAATTTATTCCTGCTAATTAAAATTGGGCAAATTTTTATTCCGGATAAATAAGGAAGTAATTTCTTTACTAGTTACCTTGCAAAATAAAAGTGTACAAACCCCATATAATTTAATGAAATTCACAAATATGGATATGATGAGCATAGTATAAATTTCAAATGTCTATAAATTTATTCTAAAGCTGGAAAGTATTCGACCCAGCATGTTTGATCGGCAAACAGTTTCTTAAGACTCGTACAAATCAAAAAGCAATAATAATAAAGAAAAATAGGCGTCAAGGCTCAGAAATTTAAATGTCTTTTTCACTTTCGCATGCATTAATAATGTTGTGGTTTCCTGGATTATGATGGGTTAGTATAAATAAAATATAGGCATATCAGTATATTCGAGTGTCCAGAGCAATCGGTCAATCCGAACGTTGCCTACCTAATAACAAAAACAATAAGATTTTTCTAGGTCAATGATAAACTCGTGGTGAATATTCCAAGCTTCGTAAAAAATAAAAAATTCTAAAGCCTAGGATGTTTCATTGAGCTCCATCAACAAAAAAAGGATTAAGTGGGAGAAAGGAGAAAAACAATCAAGACTACTTATTTTATTTATTGAATTTCCTTATTGCTATCACTCCTGTCTGCTTTAAAACGTTACGTTCTGCTATGTAGGCGACCACACTTGATCTTTATTTAACCACTTTTTCTTTACCACTTCCGAAGAAATGGCGTTGTCCTTTTGCACTCTGGTTGAGTCTCTCAAGTGAGGCAAATTGCGCACATAGAGAGGCCACCGTTATGAAGAGGGCCTCGTTTGGAATCATTTTTTTCAGTTGATACAAAAAGATCTCGTTGCGCTGTGGGTTGAGGCAGCCCTCTTGTCCACCGGACACAAAGCTCAACACCTCCGTCATGACGTCTTTATAGAGTGAAGGGTCTCTCAAAAGGCCGTGGAGCACGCCGCGCAGGCCTCTCATAGTCCATTCCAGCGTTGTCAGAATCTGGGTCTCCATGGCGATAGCGCTGGAAAGATTAACCTCCCGGTCCATCTCCGAGGATAGCAGGGATGGCAACGCGGGAAGCGAGGGGGGGTCCTGCTGTCGCGAGGAGGCCTCCGAGGCGGAATGAAGGGATCCCACCCCCAGGATGGAGGACTGCACGGAGGCCTTGGTGAGGTGCGAGGAATCGGCACGACTCAACGGAACGGCTGGGGGGCTCCGGAGACGCTCCCCATTGGTGGGCATCGCTCCCATCCGTCGCGGCGGCTCACGCGGAGGCGGCTTGGCCACGCTAGAGGACGAAATCGTAGAGGGCGTGTGCAGGATTAGGCTATCCGGTTGTACACTGGATAAGGTCGGTTGATGTGGTTGGACTTGGTCGCCCTGTCGAGGTGACCCGACATCGGCTTCATGAACCGGGGATGCGTTTGTGAGGGGTGAAATTTTTGCCATCGTGGCATCCACCGGTACGTTAGGATTACCGTCTCCAGCTCTAAACGTTGGATTAGGTATTTTTACACCCACCATTTGTGGGTTCGGAGCTGCTTTTTTCGTGAGCCGGTCTTTTGGGGAAGGAGGGGGTCCTGTTGGACGTGGGGCAACAATCACCACGCTAGAACGATCCGTTACCACTAGATTATTATGCTGGTTGGCGTTTAGAGCAATTGCCTCAATACGTTTCTGGTTCCAATCTTTGATATGTTTTCGGATATTCTTTTGTCTAGCAAGATTATCTACATCATCTGAAATAAAAGACTCCTTAATAAATGGATCAAATTCTTTTGTGGGATCATAACCTCGGTTAGTATTAATCGGATGCATTGTCAGACCTCGGCGGATACGACCTGTCGCACCATTTTGCAGTCCCGCGTAATTGCGCATACGACCTGGCGAAATTGTGTTTAATCGCTGTAACTCCTCAAACTGCTTCAACGCCTTGCGGTGCCAATTGTTCTGAGAGCTGGGCGCATTTTCGTGATGAGCAACGACGTTATTAATGTCGTCAAGATCGTCGATATCTTGACTAACTTTTGCAGCTGAAGGAACAGTGAAAAGAGCGCTATGGATTTGCCTCAACCGCCCAGCGCCTTTACACTCCCCTGCAGGAGGAGTAAACACTCTAGATGAGGAAGCGCTTTTGAGAACGTGAGGTGCCCAAGGATGCGCTTTGTTGGTTGATGTAGTTTCTCGCACATCCGGTGCAAGAGCTTGCATTAGCGTTGACGAAATTACCTTGTCAGGAACCACAACCCGATTCACATGTAGAGGTTTATTTAGATCGAGTGGTGGATAGCCATATAATTTAGTACCATCAATGATGTTTTGTAGCGATTTAATCACTTCACCCAATGACATCCGTTTCCCCAAGTCTGGTTCCATCATTTTCAGAACCAGCTGCTGCATTACGCTAGACCGCAAGGAAAATTGAGTTTGTGCTGAGAGCAACTTCTGCGCAATGAGCCCGAGATGCCATACATCGCTTAGGTTAGGGTGATACCACCTCATTTGAAGTGCTTCAGGTGGATACTCCTTTTCAAGCATTACCCTTTCATTTTTACGATCCGTTATCTGCTTGAAGTATAAAAAGGGTGGTAAGGGGAGGCCTAATAGTATGTTTCCCGTATTGCCAAGGAAAAGCCGTTCCAGTGATAGTCCGTAGAAAGGATAATGAGCATCGCGATGAAGCGATTGTAGGACAAGTGATATCGAAAGCAACCACTGTATCACTTGATTTTCGGGTAATAGATCTCTTAGATTATCTTCTAAGTATGCATTCAAGTCCCCACACACACAAAAGTCCGCCACGACACTTAAAAAGGAGCCTTGAACCAAAACAGTGTGAATAGTCACGATACCAGGAAATTTGAGTTTTTGAAGTTTGTGATAAACCTCGGCAGCGGTGCTTACATCCTCGTCTGAGCATCCAAGCAAGCTAACCCTACGAAGAATGCGGAGTGTATCGTTAGATTCTGTGTCCTTAACTAGAAGAGTCGCAGAGTCGATCCCCATACCTAGAACTTTTTCCCGAATCATTAAAAGTTACTCTTGATAACAAAAAAAAAGAATAAATATACAAGTAAAATAGCTTTCTAATAAAGAGTAATAGAATTGTATATAAAGGTAACCAAAGCGCTTCAAAAGGAAAAAGACAGCTAGAAATAGAATTAAAAAGATTAAGTAGAAAGGTGCAACACAAACAAGTATTCAATCTACATACAAACTTGAAGCCCCAATCAAATAAAGGAGTTAGATGTCGATAGCATTTTGCTGAATCTCGATATTATTATTTTTCCTTTTTTTTACTTTCTTTTTTCTTGCTTTTTAAGCAATTTACCTATTTATTTTTGAGCAAACATCTTTTTTTTTTTGCAAGCACAATACAGAATTCTCAAATGTTTACTAAATCCAACACTACGTATCAATTATTTTGGCATTTATTTTATTTGTGCATAACCCTTTTACACCTTTCTTAGGTCAATGCTTCATATAGTATTCGTATTTAATTCGGAAATGCCTCGCTTCAACCTCTCTTGTGTGAGTTTCATCTAGATATATTACTTGACTATGGTAATTTGCTTTCACACGATGCGAATCATTAAATCGGTTGTAATACAAAAGACCTGATCCATCTCACCCAAGGTTTTACTCACACCGTATCGGTAAAAGTAGCGTTGCATTGGCAGTGGTACACGACTTTTCAGTGTTGAAAGTTTTATCCCTTCTTGAGGTATCAACGGCAGCACTTTTTTAACAATTTCATCCTTTTCAAAAACAGGAATTCCAACCTTTGCGCGTTGGATAATCATTACAGATGGGTTATCCGGATAGGGCCAAATATCAAAGTAATCTGGAAACTCAGAAAGCAAGGAGACGAGTTCGTTCATATCCTGTGGAAGGCCCTTTCGTACTGCGTCGGGAACCAGCACCAGCACATCCTCCAGCTCCGCGCACTGAATCAAAGGTAGCGCGTTGTACAACTCTCTGAGAACCCAATCTGCATTGGTTTTCTCATCCATCGTGAAGGGAATGGCAAGCACCGGATCATTCGGGGCTATCTCCATTTCTGACAACTGGGGATTTAATATAGTTTCCGCGCAGCGCTCGTACTCTGGCTTAAACTTGTACACACTCATGCTATCAGCCGATACAACGATGGCTTTGCCATGGAGCCTCAAAAATCGAGGAAAAGAACGCCACGCAGCCCTGATTTCACTTCTTTCCTTATCAGTTAACATAGCGTAGAGCTTGCTGGTGGACACACTTGCTGAAATACGACCGTTCTCGTTGTCATAAACCTTACCTTTCGCCACGGAATCGACAAGCGTCATTATCTTTGTAAAGGCCTCTGGAAAAGGTGAAGACGTGGCGTCGAGTTCATCCAATGCGTTGAGGGCTACGGAATAGGGACGCACCCGAAGCTTTCCCTCAGCCACCTGAAAATACTCTGGGTACTTTTCCAAGAAGCCCATCACCCCAAGCCGGGAATCAAAAGCCGGGTGACGCGATACGAGATCAGAGATCTCCTGAAGCACCTCCGAGAAGGGTTGAAAGACCTTGGGAACCCGCGGCAACAAGCTTATTATCAAGTTCGCTTCGGAATTCCGTGGTGGACGGCCCCGACTTTCCATATGCCACGCACTCCCAGCACACGTTGCGTAGCGTGCGTCCGCAATCCCCCTTTTTGGATGCGAAAAATCCTCCTTTAACCGGATTGTGGTATTGCCAAAGTTCGTTTGAGTATTAAAGTAGTGCTTGAAACGTTTCAAGAAGAAAGTCAGGGATGTGTCGGCATAGAGTGCCTGAATATCCGGTGGCAGCATGGAAGCGATCACTTCTTGATTGACAAAAAAAGTCGGTATGTACTCGACTAAAGCGTCAAGTATCTCAATTTTATTGCGAAAGCTACGAGTTTCGGGGGTTGCATTCGTGGATGGATGAGGGGAGGAAGCGTCAGGCGACGCAGCATCGGAAGGGGGGAGTGGTGCCTCAGTCAAGGTGGTGTTAGGTTGCGGAGGAGGAGGAGGTCTGAGGGATATTTTTTTATCGGCCACGTGAGGTGGGGGGTTTTGGGCATCATCGCTTTTGCCCTGCGGCGATTGGGGTACAGAAACTCTGAGCAGCGTCTGGCCGTCCTCGGCGACGCGGATGCTCGTCGAAAAATGCTCCTGCACGTAGCGCGCTAGGCCGCCAGGGTGTTTCCGAACCATTTCCTGCATCTCGGCAGGGAGCTGATGTAAAGCCTCCTTAATCGAGATCGATTGGACCCCGGTAGTTGACTCTGGCAGGAGCAATAGCAAAAAATCACGAATCTCTGACTGTGTATATGGTGCATCCTTAGATTCGTTTGTTGAATCCCCCTGCGAGGCAACTGAGCTAGGATGGTGAGGTGTAGATGTTTCCGAGTTTGGACATGAAGGATTCCCTTGAGAAATATCTTTTTTCATATTGGGGTTAATCTTTTCTGAAAAATTTGTGGATGCTGATGAGGAACTAGGGCCGGATGACGCATTGTGTGTTGAAAAAGAGCTGTCGTGTGCATAGAATCTGCGCGTCGACGGAGTCATGTTCACGAAAGCGTGTATCTTAAAGGACATACTAGTGCTGCGACGTGTGGAAACCCCGTACCATGAGCGCGAATGCGCCAATGATGCGTTGCCAAAACGCGCAATACAGGGAAGCAGAGAAACTCTAAGGTTGTGTCCAAGGAATAAGATTCCCACAGCAGTGGAGCGATCAAGAAAAGATCGCATTTTTTTTTTAATCGTCTCTAAGAGAAACGATGAAAAATAAATAAAACCAGCTATAGCCAAATGAATAATGAATTCGATCTATTTTTGAATTTCTATATTTACAACACTACAATAAAGTTCTACCTCATAAAAAGTAAGCAGAAGGGGAAGAAAATGGAAAGAGGGTAAGTTCACAAAAAAGGAAAATTTTCAAAGGTAAAGCAAAAATAATCACTCCAAGTGTTAGGTTTTTCATTTTTTCAAAAAAATTAAAATCAATACCAGTAATAAAATAATAAAAATAAGGTTCTTACATCTGAATCCCAAAACACACCGACACAACTTCCTTATCGCATCAATTTACTTGACAATTTACTCTTACTACATGTTTTATGTTTAGTATATCAGGCTAAGTATTGATATGTAATTATCACCAATGCAAACTAGAGGAAAGATTGAACAATAAAAAGAAACATAGCACATTGTTGGAGAAAAAAAAGTACAATTGATTATTAATGCCAAAATTTCTTTAGAAAAATAAACCGTTTTAAATGTGCTATAAAACAACACAAATGGTTATATATTGGACTCAAGTAAAGAAAGGAGAAGCGATCCTTCAGCTTGAAGTTTTTGTTTTGACATTAATAAAAACGATGAAGGAATTCGGTAGAGTGACCATTGGTCTTTCATTACCGCCATAAGCTAAAGCATTTACAAATCAAAAGACTAAGCGACATTAACTTTTTCCCATGTAATAGTCGTTTGTGCCTTAAATGGTTTCCCAGGCACGTAATGTAACATGGTGCTTAACGCGAGAAGTAATCGAACACTTGATGGCTTGGGTTCCTCAGCAGTGCGGTCCTTCGCGGCGTCCGCCATCTGCACGGACGCCAAATGGGATGACAAAGTGCATTCTTGCCTAGGGCTCATATGCGCGCCGGAGGCATCGGGCGACGATGAGGCATGAAATTTCAACCCCATTACAACCGAATGTCCTGCCAGATTAGGGCACAAACTGCCCTCGATGTGGTGGCAGAGCATTGCATGCCAGGGCTTAGTCTCATCAAGCTCGTAGCGGCCAAACTGGGCTACATAGGAGCAGTACACATCGCAGAGTTCGTTGCCAGGGACGTCGCGGGGGTGGTGGGGATGCCGCAGGTACCGTCGGGATTGCGGCGCAAGCTGCATAGAAAAATGTTGAGTTGGGGTATAAATCAAGTAGCCTACAAGATCACCACCCCAAGGGTAAATTATTCGTCCATGAAGGTCCTGAGTTTCGACCTTGACCACACGCCACATCCCCACAAGCTGCTCTCGGAATCGCTCACGCCTTAATTCTTCGGGAGTGTCGATCCCAAAGGTTGTGGGACCCTGGGACATTTGTGGGAACTGAAAATTTGTAAAGGGGGATATCGGTATAGAAGTATTGAACCCGCTCCGTAGATCAGAGCTACACCCTTTGACGCTATCCTTAACGTAAGGGAAATTATCGAAACATTCCTTAAGGGTCTCAATTGAGCTGCTTGAGAAATTGGTCAGATCTGGCACAGCTGCCCACTTCGCAGTGAAGTCTCGTTTGAAGTAGCGAGTGTTATTGTCCAAGATTTGAGGTACAAACGGAGCAGGCACTTCACGACGAAATATAGCATCCCAATTGATCTCAGCGAAGTAGGGATGTGCCTTGATCGAGATTGCATGCTGCAAACGTATCTTGGCGTCTCGAGTTAACAGGTTTTGAATTAACGATGCAGCTTCTGGTGTAAAAAAGCGTTCATCAGATAAATCAAGTTCCTTGTTGAGAATATTTTCGTATACTTCATTGTTGTTTTCAGCATGAAAGGGTGTATGACCTCGAAGCATCTCGTAAAATAGCACACCGAGGCTCCACCAGTCCAGGGAACGGGTTTGCTTCTCGCACCGAACAATCTCCGGTGCTACATATTCGGCACTACCCACGAAACTTCGTTGAGTGTATTGAGAGAAGTTCGCGTGCGCAAGTCCAAAGTCATTGAGCCGTAGATGCCCCTCCGAATCGAGGAGAATATTTTCAGATTTAATATCACGATGCACCACATCATGACTATGAATGTGCTCGATCGCTAGGACAAGCTCCGCCATATAAAGTTGAACAGCTGACTGTGTCAGATGATAATGGTGATACATGATGTCATATAGCTCACCACCAGGAAGATAATCTAAAATAAAAATTATGTAATAATTTGTTTGAAAAGCAAAGTGGCAGTTAACAATGTAAGGATGGGATGGTAGCATCGTAAGAATAGACCTTTCTTCTTTGATATAGGAATCCATGGAGCGCTGGTGGACTAAGGACTTGGTCAAGACCTTCATTGCATAAATTTCACCAGTGGAGAGAAGTCTTACCTTAATGACCCTGCCAAACGAGCCATGACCAAGGAGGGTAATGAGCTGAAAGTCATGAAGCTCCACCTGTCCAGGCAACCCTTTCTCATTCCTAAATGTTATTATTTCAGCACCAGTGTGTGGTTTGGAGTCCTCCTTGTGATGGACACCAGTCATTGGGAGTGAGTCAGCGACAGCCTGGAGGTTGGGGGGTGCATGCACCGTGTTCGCGGTGTGGCTATGACACAATTGCTGTTGTTTGTAATTCTCAGTGCACGGCGTGCATGCGTTGACATGTCTCTTCTTCCCCTCTATTTCTAGGGTGTTGGGTTCGGCATCACAGGGGATGTTGGGTTTGGGCCTCGCATCGGCGGAAGAAGGAGGCAGCTGCTTAAGGAGACTGAAGCCAATCCGCCACAAACAACGAAAACAAAAGTGGCTACGACAGAAGAAGCATCGGTGTGGGTAAAGCATCGAGGAGAACTCTTGATGACAAAGGCCACACTTCTGTGTCAAAGGTAAAAACCGCTTATCGTCTCCACTTACGAACCCAGCGCCTTGGCCACTGATGGCGTGTACAGAAGGGGAAATGGAGCTTCCTGCGTCGCTATCGGAAGGGGTATCCTCATTTCCCCATGCAGAAATATCGTACGATGAGGACGCTAGAGCAATATTTGACAGAGCGGCGTCCAAACATAGAGGTACAAGAGGTGATTTCAAAGATCTGGTGTCATTGATGTTATCTAGAGTTGCTAAAGTACCCGTCCGGGACAGAACTCGTGGCACAGAAGAGGATAACAATGTACGTCCTGGATGAGTTTCAGTTTGATCTCTCGATGCATGAAGTCTATTCAGGCTTGAATGGGAGCTAGACCAAATGCCATTTTCGGCTAGAAATGACTGACTTTTCCCTGGCTCCTGGAATTCTGAATTGGAAGGTAACTTCTTAAGCCCGGTCTTGATTTGGTCTGAACGTATGGATGGTGCTGAAATGAGAACTGAAGATAATGGTGGTGAAAGCATATGGGGAGGTGGCGTAGGGAGTTTCGTCCTGGTCACAGAAGGTGATACATTAGTCGAGGAAGAAGACTCCTCTGGGTGCAATTGTAAAGGATGGTGAAAATTATGGGAGTGCGTACATGTGAGGTTTTCTACCTGCTCACTAGCGGCTTTGCAACACTTTTTATGCGAGTCGCTACTATCGGTACTTATGCACAGTTCACTCTCGACTTCCACTGCATCCGCACTAAAACCGATTAGAGGCTGAATAGCACACATTCCAAACTCCACAGCGACCTCCCCCTCGTGTAAAAAAATGTAGAGCGGAGTACGGGCTACAAGGAATAAATTACCTGGCACTAAGAGCTGCTGCAGGTAGATTTCTAAATACCGCCGACGCTTTTCCACAAGCTGTGTGGATTGGTTGGTTACTTCCATCCAATGACTAACTGGAAGCACCGGAAGGACGCCATAGCCACCATGATTTGGAGTTCCTCGGGTGCAAAATTGCCTAAGGGATTGATCCAGCACCTTAAATTGGTGATAGCGCCGACAGACATACCAGAACTTCTGACCCTGAGTGCACTCAATCACGTACTCTATGTAGCTTCCACTAACGCGATAGCGCGGAATGCTAATAGAAATATGGGAACGTTTAGACAAGCTAACAAGTTCACACATGTCTTCGCCAACACCTAATTGTTCGTCAGACTGGGGATGTGGGGAAGGGGATTGTAGAATAGCAATTTTGTGATTCGACACTGTAGCTTGTGGAACTGTCTGCTCATGGTTATTGCCGTTGGTTCCGATGCTAGGGGACGGATTTTTTTGAGAATCTCGTCTAAAAAGTCTTGCAAGCATGTCAAAACCTGTTTATGCGCGTATAGAAATCGATGTTCGCATGAATTGAACTTTCTGCTTTTAATTTCCCTTTGGGTTGAGTAGGGCTTGGCCGCAGTAATTTCTACAAAAATGGCCCTGAGCCCTTTGTAATGAATTTTATTTCTAGATGTATTATCTTTGTTAATTTTAAATCAATTTTAAGAATATTTGAAATATCATATATTAGGATGTGTAGCGTATTAAAAATAATAATTTTAGGAACAGAACGTTGAAAAGAATTTAATGGCATACACACACCAGAACAACTTTCAACAACTACAATTTAGATTCTTTTGGGTTCGTTTAATCGCTCCTTCTATAAACGTGTTGGACCTTCTTTTGCTATTGTTTTCGATCATCGAGACGCATAAATTTTTTACCAATTAGTGAAATCAGAAGAAGAAGAATAAGTGATCTAAGCACTTCAATAACTGTACATGAAAAAATGAGAGAAAAAAAGGAAAAATATTGCATTACATATCTATCTCTTTAAAAATCTCCCGTATTCTTTTGAATCAGAAATATATATCCAGATCATGAAGCAAGGAAAGAAATCATCCTCTACTCGACTAATGGCATCACACCATACTATTTCAACTTAATTAATAAAGGAAATAATAATTAAAAAAGTCAAGAGTGTATCAAGCTATTGTGTATCCTCTATTGTTGAATGAAAAGGAAATCATTGCAGTTAGCCATTAATTTGTATTTATTAATTATTTTTTTTGAGAGAAGAAGGGCTAAAGTATAAGAGCACGTATTTTTTTTTATAACGATAAAGCATATATATTTCTGTTGCACTATTCGGTCAGGTATTTCACCTAATCAAAATGTTCCAGCTTCAATCACATTGTCAGGTTCACATGAGCATTCACTCATGTTTGTGAAGGTGGCACAACTTCATCCAATACGGTCTTTTTCCAGAAAAGAGGACAAAGTGTCTGTCCAAAGTGCTAAATTCGATACGTGGTTCATTTGGTCTTAATCTGTTTGGATTACGTGCAAAACATAATGAATTAAAGTTGCGCAATTCAAATTACAAAAGGCTGTAGTATGCTTTCTGCATTGACACACTTTCATGGTTTCAATTTCCTATAGCATAAAAGCGTTTCTAATCGAATAAGTGATACAAAGTTAGCCACGTTACATTTCACAAATAGAGAAGTCATTCAACAGAGGTCATTCATCCTTCATTTTTATTTCAAAAATTACACCTTCTTTGATTTAATTGGAAGAGGCAAGAACAAAGTGATAATTTTCACATTTTCAGAACATTACAATGCCTCATATTTTATGCATTTTTTTGGGGGGGGACTTGAAACATATCAAGATGTTTAAGATCGCGTGCATCAGTCACAACAAAAGACAAATACGATAATAATGTCGATAATACATTTATAGTAAAAAAAGCCTTATCATTGATATATTGGATCTATAGCACAAAAGTAACTTACATACTATATGGAAAGTTATAAGTAACATAATAAATGGCTTGTAATACTTCATAATATAGAAAATTTTGGAAGCGTTATAGCTTATTTGTAAAGAAGAAAATACAAGCCTAAGTTTTTTATAGTACATAAGAATTAAAAAGATAAACATTTATTTGTAAGGAAATATGAAAAGAAAAAGCTCCAGCACTGATAATTTTGAAGCAAATAAAAAATTGTGCGCCATAAGAGCTAAGTGTGGCTATTACATAAGAAAATAAAAATAAAAATATCATGTGTAGAATTAAAACCTTTGTAATATCGGGTTTGAATTTTAGAAGGGGGATAAAAGCAAGACCACTTTTTATGTGCGAGCAGAATTAGTGGAGTGCTACAGGTAAATCCCTCTCTCTGTAAGTTCTAGGTGAAAATCGTTTCGATGGAAACTGGAAGACAGCACCGAAACGTGCACGACGTGCGTATCGCGCGCGTTCTCCTGGAGTGCGCATATTGTAATAGTGTATGGGAATAAATTTGCCCCGCGTCGTCCATTTTTGGGGCTCTGTCATTTGTTCGTCGTTGACGACATATTTAGAATACCCCAGCAGAAGATGTTTGTTCCAGCTCTGCACCATATCCTGACGCACTAAACGCAAGGGCAAAATCTTCCCACGACGCGCAAACCACATCGCCTGGCGTAGCCGTTGATGCCCCTGAAAGTACATGTACCGTGGGCATGGAACATGTACGTCTTGCATTACCAAAACATTGTGATCCGTGTAGTATGGAATCCATCCCTTCCGACGACCGGTCTGTCGATCTAGGATGTGGATGAGTTTTTTGAGCTGCAGCACGCGATGCTTCTCGAACTCCCACGCAACTTGTGTCGTGCGAGTGATCGTCTTGGCGATCACCTCGAAATTATGATTACGGTCTTCTTTTTGCTTTAACGCCCACATTCGCCGCGTGTGGCTGACGAAAATAGAAAGAATGAGCTTTGCCTTAAACTGCTCGTAGAGGATGTGTCGAATATCGCCGGGGTCATCGTTCATTGTGTGAACCTTCGAAGAGGGCTCAACTTTGACCGCTATGTACTCCTCCCTCGGATGCTGCCTGGGAGAAGGTGGTGTAGGCGGATGGATCGCGAAACCTTCATTTGGTGCGATTGTGGTACTATCATCATACTTTATCGCACCATCACGTAGCTTATTATCAGTAGTGGGTAAGAGGCTCCATGTCCGACGTGAAGATGGTAAATCGAGCGCAAGATTGGACAACTGTGGGCCACTACTTTGTCGCTCTGAGCCATCTAGATTTACCACAGAGGATCTCCCTCTTTCCAGAAGTAAAGTTTTTTGAACCGATGGTAGGGCCCCGGGCAGGGATGATGCACTAGAAGGTACAGTAGGTACCTTATCATCCTCAGTGGCTTTTTGATCAAAAAATTTCTTGATCAAAACTTTCATCGTATCTGTAAGAAATCCATCAATCCGGTCTTCCTTGTTGCCATCGGAGTCTTGGAGATCTGAAGACTCTTGCAGCTCCGATGTGATGAGACCCATGAACTCGTCGACCACCGCATCGTATCGGACAGGATCCTGGATATACAGCAAACGCGCCTCTTCCTCTAAATTTTCCATTGTCGTCGCTGACTGCACAATAGAGCCAGCGTCATCAAAGTTTAGAATATCATTCGCAGCAATATCCATGACCCCTCTGGCTGCCTTGGCACTGACTGGCTGTTGGTTCAAAGCGGAGGACTTCACCATGTTAAGAATATTAGACACATATGTGGTGCATTCATTTGAACCAGCAGATTTGTTAGATTCTTGTGTTTTGGCAGAAACTCTACTCAAGCCACGCTCAATCCTAGGTGTGTGCATACGCGCTCCTGGCTTTGCAATGATGTTGCCAAAACCATCCACACGTTTGGTCACATTCCCGGGCACCAAGAGATTTGACAATTGGGAAGCATCGCTGATAAAATTGGACGGCATGAGCACATTCAATTTTCCAGTCGCTTCCGATCGCGAAACATAAGCTTCTGGGGCATTTTGGGTAATCTCTTTTAGAGCGTTGGTAAGCTGCTGCTGCATATCGTTTTCACTTAAATTTTTGTTAAATTCATAAAGCTGTCTTACAGTATTGGTGCGTTTTCTTCTAGGAGTCACCTCTCGCGATGGAAGGGGGGCAGCAGCACTGTGTACGGTTGAATAGGTTCCTTTTCGGGCAAACCCGGACTTTTGAGATGATAAAGAACCCTTGTGAGATCTCGGACGCCCCTGTCCCTTTGCGTCGGCATTTACCTCTACTCTGTTATCCTGTGAAAGAGGATCACTACTACTGGGGGCTGCAATTGTTTCCGCATCGGAAAATAATAACAAAGCCCTTCCAGAGGAGCTATTTGTCCGTTCAGACAAAGAGTCAAATCGTTCAGCCGCACTCAAGGATTTGTGGTGTTTAACGTAGACCCCTATTCTCTGGGTATCCGATGACAAAGGGAATTCTGAAGATTCTAATTGAGATGTGGGTGCTATGGATTTTGGCGATGCCGAGTAGCTGATCGAAAGATCCTTCCCCTGTAGACCTCCAAGCTTGACGTAGGGCTCTCGAAATCTCTGTGTAGCGTCGATATCGTTGAAGAGGCCTTTGAGTTCGGGGGTGAGTTCCGTAGCTGAAAGCCTATTACGCACCGCGTCCTGAGTGATTTCTAATCCAAAGAACCTCTCAGCGCTTTCGGCCTCCACGTCCTCTGCGATCTGCTGCACAATACCCGTCACGATAGTCTCCGCAGTTTGTAAATCTTTGAGCGGATTCTTCTCGGACAAGGACATGCGCTGCAGCACATTTTCGACGTCGCTCCGCATCTGAGAGTCGTTCTCGGCAAAAGGACCCGATTTACTCCCAGATTCTGCCTGAGTCTGTAGAACAGAGAGAAGAACCATATTATTTTCAACAGCCTCTTTTTCGTGTTGCTCATGTGGGATACCCCAATCCCCCACTTCACGTGGCTGCAGAAGGTTATCAATAATGTCCACACCCGCAGACACTCCGTCTAGTATTTGAGCAGCCTCCACACTATCATAAGACTTGCCCATCCGAGGGGATACTTTCTTGGAATCAGAGATTGAAGGCCTGGTCGCGCCATTTTTCGAGTCTTCAACCGATATCAAGAGCTTTGAACTTTTTTCGGTTTCGCTGGTAAAGGTCAAAGAGGATTCTGAGGTTCCCTTTACGCGCGATGCCCCAGACTTGGACAAGGCTCGTCGCCCTTTTGAAGTAGTTGACATCTTTTTCGCTCTGGACAATCGATGTTTGGTACCCTTATCGCTCTCGTTTTTCGTCTTGAGAGGTTTCGATGGTTTTTTCATATCCCCAGAGAAAATGGAGAAGTTATCTGAATTTCGTCGTGACGAAAGAGGGCGCAGGGAATTAAACTTGTCAAAGAGAGAGACCATACTACCATTAAAGGTCAACGTTTCGTTAAATTGGACAGGCATGTTCTTATTGACTGGATATAGAAACGCAAGAGTTTTTGTTTCTCCTGGCTCAAGCAACATCTCGATAAGTCCATCGCTTTTTGAGAGATTCGAATAATTTGATGGGAGCATCCTAATGTTCGACTGTTGCTCGGTGAGTAGTTTCACGGAAGCTTCACAAGGGGTGTTCGAATTTTCGTTTCGAGCACGAACACACAAGACTTGAGTAGTGTCTTCGGTAGCATTGCCATCAGGGCTCTGTTGAGGCTTACTTTTTTTCTTGGCCTTCTTTTTACCCTTTTCTTTTTTTTTAGTGGATGATACAACGTCAGGTTGGAGCTTTCTCGTTACGGTAAAATACAGACCACAAGGGATTTGTGTAGATAAGAGGATCTCTTCCTGATTCTGCAGTAGTGATTCCCCTGGTGAATAATGTTGCGATCCCTCTATGCCCTCTTGAACCAATTTTGATTCTTTATGCATGTCTGATTCAGAAGCAAGCTCTGTGGGATGTATTATTTCTTCGTCTTCGGTTTGTCCTAAATCTAAGGGAAACACTTCTTGTGCTATTTGTTGGTCTTCTAGATACATATCCAAATTACGTATTTGCGCACCTGCAGCACCCGATTGAGAACGGGCATATGAGCTAGATGCACGCATGCGTTCTCGAGAGGTGAGGGAGGAATGCTGCGTAGAAGACGCAGCGCCAATAGTGCCCATCAGAGCAATCCGATTCGAGATTTCATCCGTTTCATTCTGAGCTCCCCTTCCCTTTTGGCCTTCCAAGGCAAGCATCTTTGACCTCCGGATCCTTTCATCCAATTCGGCAATATAAGCTGTTTCATTCGCGTTCCGATAGCTGGAAAGTCTTTTTTGAAATAAACGGCGGTCCTCGATTAGGCGACTGTAATCGTACTCCTTATAGAGCTGCTTCAGATCATGAACCAGGTTAGGTCGCAAGGTGGACACGTGGGCCATGGATTGCGTATAACCATTGTTTATGTGTGCGGCAGAACCTGACCCAAAACTCTGAGAGGATGCGGCTCCATTTTTATGATCAAGATAAGAAGATCGACAAAAATATAAAGGTGATAAAGTGTCACCGAATTTGGTTGGATGTTTTGCTTCCTTAACACCAGAGGAGTCTGGATGCAGGTTTATGGTGGACCCAGGGCTTGTGTTGACGTTAGGCTCACATGGAATTCCCGGCTCTGGACTTATAATGGAGGGAATCTCATGAAGCGATACCGGTGATGCGTGATTGGATGAGTCCGTACGCAGTGGACATGAGTTTGGCATCTGGAACATTTGTAGGGAATCTTCCCCCCCAGATGATTTGCTGGTATCAGCGGCTGATGTAAGCAGCGGCCTTTGACGTTTGATTGAATCGGCGACCTGTGCCGCTGCGATGGCATCAAACATAAAGCCCAGCAGTTTCAGCGATCCGACACCCGCCCTGTCGTATAACGTCGATTCTTCTAAGAGCGAAAAGCCTACCACACTGGGTTCAGTGGGTTGAACAAACTGTATCGACCCATCAGTTCGGTCCAAGCCTCCGTCCTCGGAAGTTGGCTGATGTGGTTTAGTCGAGCTCAGAGGGATTAAGTGGTCAGTGGTCCCGGCGAGTTTAGGGGGACTGAGGTTTAATTTCGTCTTGGGGGTATCGTGAGGACGATATGGCACGTGGTTCATGCGATGATCACGAGTTATAGCGGATGGGGAAAGGTCGTTAGATAATAATGGTTCGGTGATAAACACCGACGTCAGGTCATCCGGTAATTCAATATTCGTGTTCAAGCCGAGATCCATACTCTCAATCTGCCAGCGGATGTCATTTAAATTCGACTTCGCCATACGAATGGAGTTTTTTTTTTCTTCAGTCAAGGACACTTGGTCGGGCACATCTATACCAGCACGTTTGCATACATTGCGCAACTGTATCTCCAAGGACTCAATTAAGCGGTGTAGAGATTTCACGTTAAAGTTATCTCGAACCAAATCCGAGAGAAAGGCATTGTTAAGTTGATTCAACCTTCGGATTTCTTCAGATCGGTAGAGGTAGACACTAGCTCTGCGTCGGTTGATGTTGCCCTTAGGTGCGCTGTAAGGTCTAGATGATGATGGTGCATAATCTTTGCTGTCTTTATGCTTAATGGATGCATCAAGCTTGTGGGACATATCCATCTCAAAAGCGTCCAAAACCGCTTCTATGTTTCTTTCCAAATTAAACTTGCGACCAATTAATAAAATCAGCTTAGACTGCTCCATTTGAAGGATCTCTTTGTAGCGCTCCTGATCGGTGCGAACGTAAGGCACAACTCTAGTGTGCCGCTTTACTTCGTTCATTATTTCAGTTGTCATGCTGATCTTACTTTGTACCCTGGTTAAGCGCTGAGTCGATATATCCGATTGAGTTAACTTCACATCGTCTAATTTCGTAGGCGTTCCAAAAGAAACCGTAGAATCTCTACGTGAGGAGGTCTTGATTTGGGGCGTACCGTTAGCGGTGGACTCTGGGCTGACTGACGATCTCCCTGCCGCATTATTGCTTGCAAAAGTTGAAAGGCGCCGAGTCGAGCTAGACGAAACCGGACTATCGGAGGCAAAACCTCCCTTCTGTAAGGGGGTGTTGCATGCTGAAATCATAGGACGCCGCCAGCCATGACCTTGTTGGGGATTTTGGGATGGAGACTGGTTCCTTTCACCTTTTAGCAGAATTGCAGACCCGTCGGATTCAATATGGGATGACGGGACGATAGGGTGGCCATTCGTGTCTGGTGTATTTTCTACAAGAAATTTACTGACCTTAGGCTTTCGCGAGGGCCGGTGAGGCTTTGGAGAGGGTTTCTTAGTGTTCGAGGGGGATGAGGGAGAGACAAGTTGCGAAAAGCTCCCCTCAAGGTCACCGACCTTCAAGATGGAATTTCTTCTGCTATATGTGGTGTCTAGCCTGCTTTCAGACAGCGTTACAGTTTTATGAAAGGTATGACTCAATGAAGAACGTCTGAAAGGTGTTTGGTCTGGGTGTTTAATAAGCCCCCTTCCCATCTTTCGCAAGCGCGTAACGGTGGGGGAATCAAGGATGGACATCGTATTTGAATTGCCACAGTCTAAAGCTGGCAACGAAAGTAAATAGGAGTCACATAAACTTCTGGGTTTCATGTTCGACTTTACATCATCATTTCGAGTATCCATGGTTACCGAGTGCCTTTGATTTACCTCTATGACTCGTTTGCTGTACACCTCCACGCTTTAATATGTATATTGAGACAGTATAATGTATATTTAGATCGGTAACGAATTTCTTTTGCCACCCGTCTAACTTTTTCAGAATAAAAAAAATGTTAGTAGATTATTTATAGTAATAATTCAAAGCTTAATCTTGGAAGTGCATAAGCAAAAGAATAACACAGTAATCTAAATAATCTACCTATGAAACTCAATGGATGTGGAAATGAAAAGAGGAGATGTAAAAAATTCAATTCGTCTAAAAAAAGTATCAATTTCAATTTAGTCATAGGGCCATAATAACAAAGGTTAACGTGTAAATCAGTGACATCTTCTTGTTCACAAGTGAAAAAAAAATTACTGATGAAAAGGAACAAAAAATAATTATAAGCATGCTTTATATATCAGCATGAATTAATGGTGACCTTTGGGGCCCTTTTTTTCCCACTTTCAGGCCACAACCCCTTCATTCTCTTGCAGAAGTAAAATGTGATTCGGCAAATTACCCTGAAAGTTGAATGGGTATGCTGATAAAGTGTGGTGCCATAAGCTTTTTTTGTAGAAAAGATTTAACTTCGGACACAACAAGCTGCTCAACCTCCCTTTTGTCTACAAAAATTGAACCGTCATCATCATAAATACGACTACCATTATTCCTCAAAAGATCTGTTGCTGAAGAGTCGAGATCGTCTTCTTTATCTTTGCGCTCTCCAAACACCGCCACTACCTTTAGGCGGTTGATGACCGAATCAGCCAGTTTACCAGGTTCCAACCACAGCCGACACTCGTTGTGATGAAAATTAAAGCATACAAAACAATCCAAATCAAAGTCTGATACTTGAAGCTCAATGGGCATGTAAACTGGCAGAGAGAAGGATCCGATGTTAATACAGTACTGAATTGCGGTACTGGCGGAGAAACTCATAGAGCCGCCGTAGGTAAGGTGGAGCCGGAGGTACAAACCACCTGCACCCAAGAAAGGCGCGAGTGTGTCGAACGAAGTGGATGAGGACGTCGGAAGCTCCTGTTCACTATAGTTGCGAGGGGTCTTAATCTTGTTTAACTGTATAGTCGGCGTGAAGCGAGACTGGGGTGACGTCATTCTTGTGCTCTTAAGATGACTCAACACGCTACTCTTCGTGGAGAGTCCCCTTACTTCCTCCGGAGCCCGTGTTGCTGAAATGTTATTCATATTGTCAAAAGGCTCCTGTGGGATGGCCATTGAAGCCGTGTCGGAGGTCCCCCCAGCGGAGGTGGGCGCTTTTCCACGCAGTGTCCCGTCCCTTTGTAGGGGTATCGTTGAAGAGACGCATACTACCTGAGGTTCCTCGGTAGAATCAAGATGATCACAGAAAGGACGATCGGTTTGACCATCCGAAGTTCCCACTACAGGAATGTTGATATTGAGCGAAGCGGCAGAACCAACTGGTATCGTAGTGTCCAATATATCGATTGCATTTTCAAACCGCTCGATCTCAATAAATGGTGGCGTAGTGCCCCATTTAATACTATTAATGCACAAAAAGGTAATCAGAGGTATCTTTTTTGGAGCTACCGATGGGTGCAATGAGGTTCCACCTGCTGTACCAGTCGTGACAGAAGCGGAGGGTGGAGTTGATAACCCTTGGCTTACATGGCGACCAGGGTACTGTGGCGCTTGATGTTTAAAGTCGCTGTTAGTTCCACTTTCGATACTGAAACTAGAAGCTTTGTGTAATGTAGTGTCGATCAATGTGGGGTGTAGCTGAGTGTTAACGACACTTGGTCCTGTCAAACCGCTACGAGTTCCAGGGCTCCCGTGCTCCGTGTCCAAGTTATAAGCTCTGCCTCGAGAACGATTCCCCTCTAAGATTGAGCTACCCCCTCCTAATCCACCAACGCAAGTGTTAATTTTGTTGGGGTCGCAGTTGTCGCTCGTGCTCATGGCTTTCAGTTTTTCATCTAGTATCTGCTCTAATTTATTGTTAATAAGGAGCTGGATCGCCTCTGCGGCTGTCTCGTCCAAGCATCCCCAATTGAAGTAGAATGACATAGCACTGAGTTATATTCTTCTTCTAACGTGACAATACACTTTACAAAAAATAAAAAATAAATAAAAGTTTATGACCTTAGGTGTGAGACTAACTTATCCCTGAAACAGCCGTGAAAGATGACTGTGTCAGTCTTCCTAATAGAATGGGAAAGGAGGAAACAAGCATATAAGACATAAGTAAAGCAAGGCTCGTTTTGCTATTAACCTTTACGAATGACGACAAATTATTCGTAATACAGCAAACATGCAAGTCAGGCACACATATTTATACATATAATTATATATGTATATATATATATAGATTACCGTTATGAAAGATAAAGTTGTCTTTGACAGACTTTTACGTTTGCGATACACTAACTACGATCTTCCGCTGAGCAAAATGCAAAGAGTTGATATAGAAATAAGTGGATAACGTTAACAATATTTCTTTGATGCAGGGCACGACTAAGCCATATTAGATACTAAAATAAAATAAGGCAAAAAAGCATTCACACCCCTCCTCTTCACGTGGACAGCAAATGAGAAATACTCTTAATCTTTCTGACATCGTAATTTTAGATTGAACCTCACATCTCTAATTTCAAAACAAAGGAGTTATTTATAATTTTCCTACACAAAAAAACAACAAAAGTGTATTTATTTTATTTTTATAATAAATTGTTGATCTGTTGGTTTCTATCGATATTACCGACTCCTCATTTTTTCTACAGCACGACTTTCTTAAGTCCCTACTCTTCACCTTTTTCATCATTACGATGTGTACATTTATAAAATTATGAATACATAAACGGCTCCGGCGGTGGCGCATCCTTGTCATCAGGGTCAATCGCCACAATTAATTTCTGCTCCCCAAGATTGGGCATTGTGTCCTTTAAGAGGCACACACCGATGGGGTTGGGTTTGAGCGGGACGTAGCGGCCATTGACGGTGTGTGAAATGAAAGCAAACTGGTGGGCCGTAACCCGAGCAGGGTTGTGAAGAATTTCGCAGGAAGTATCGTGCGGATCGCTTTTGCCGTCTGCTTCAGCGTTTGAGACTCTCTTTTGGTCAGCGCCAGGGGCGTTGGGGCCCTCGTTGGCCGCGGCGGACCCAGTGGCGGCCTTCGTGTTTTCCTTGCTTTCAGTCTCATGAAGTGACTGCTTTCCACGGCGCTGGCGCTGTAGTTCCTCTTCTTTCCGCGTCGTTGAGAGCACAACCGCCTGCACCCCGAATAACTTGACCTCCTTCTTCTCCTGGAGTACGGACTTTGGGACGGCGTAGTGGTGAGGCGGAGCATTAGATAAGAAAGTGTACTCAGGCATCTCGAGTTTATCATTAAGGCCAATAAAGCAAGTGGGCAGCATCGCCAATGACACCATATAAACATATGGATACCAGTACCAGTACTGCGTAAAAAAGAACATGCCGGCCACGGCCTTATCCATGCGATGCCGATCTCGGTGTAAGGCGAAGGTGCAATTGCGGCCACCGCAGTCCAAAAGCCCGGAGGCCAGTATGCTGCCAAGCTTGATGCAAAGCGTCTCCCTGCGGTCGCCGATCTTAGCATCCAAGAGCTGGCGGAACTCCTTCACCTTGGAGTTCTCGTATTCAGTGAGCTGAGTCATGACAAGGGCAAGGGCAATAAGCACACCCTGTCGGACAAGGTCGTTCAGGTCGTCTTTCATTTCCCAAAGCACGTTAATAATCTCAGAGCTACCCGTGCCGGCGGCACACACCCCTAGCGCCATAGCAACTCCATAGCGGATATGGGGATTATAACTGTCCACAAGGATCCGCACAAGACATAAACATAGTGCAGGGTCCCTAAAAGAGAGAAACCCAACCATCATAGCTGCATTGCGCCGAACATCGTCCGAAGTGTCCTTTACCGTCACCTGTAATAGACGACCAATGGCGGTGGTGTTTTCAGTACCGGCAAAGGCCATGCCAATGACAAAGCACCCTCCCAGCCTAATCCATGGTTCCCCGCTCTCCAGCAGCTCATTAGCCAGACCAAGCGCTTCATTTTCACGGCCAAGGTTAATCAGGGCCATCGCCATACAAGCTCCACGAATGACTTTCTCCTTTTGCATCTCCTCGCTGGCCACATTTTTCAAGCTGCTGATGACCGAGAAGTTGCCGCTGCCCATGTGAAGCATCCCAATGGCGACAGCGGCCCCCTCACCGCCCACTGCATCACTGCCGGTCACGCAGGTAAAAAGCGTATCGAAGATATTCTCGTCCTGAAGCCCCATCGCGGCCAAACCAAGGCCAAGGGACGCGCCGTGCACCATCGGCGCTTTATCCGAATACTTTCTGAGGTTTTCCATAAGATAGTCAACCACCTTGTGGTCCCTTAAAAGTCCCAGAGGAGAATAAATAAGCCCCAGTGCATAAAGCGAGCCGCCCTCCTGGTAGGGCAAAGCCGGCAGGCTGCCCTTGGGGAGGTATGGATCCAAGAGCTTCATAGCCTCCCCTGTATGACCACGGTGGATAACCCCAACGGAGGCGGTGGCGGTGAACTTCGCCCAATAGTCCGCCCGCGCGAGCCACGTGGTGTTATCGCGCAAGAAGCCGTCAATGGTCGTTCCACTGTACATCAAGGCGTTCGCCATCACGGTGGCATTGTGCAAAAGAGACTTTTTGGTATCGATTCGTTTCTTTATCTGATTCAGAATGTGCACATCGGCAACGCAGCGGGAGTACAGAAACTTAAGGTACAGCTTAGACGTTACTTCACCACAGAGAACCGCTATCAGGTTGCGCTGGATAGGGTCCACTTCTGTAGTTAAGGCGGGTTGTGGGACGGATTGTGCGGGGTCCATGCTCGCCTCCTCCACATTTCCCGCCGCAGGTGTTGCCGATACCGCCAGAGACGCCCCGTTGTCGGCTGAATTGGTGATGACAGAATCTCCTTCCAGATTCTTCACAAGAATGGACAGGAAATCTTGGCTGCCGTGTTCAAAGAGGTCAAATGCGAGCTGATACGCCATCATCGTATCCCCAGCCTTGATCAAACCACGAATTAGATTGGCTGTGGAAGAAGTGTCAGAAAGAAAGAGCAGGCATTGCACCATCGAGAAATAATCCATGGTGGCAGCCCCTTCGGTATATAAGACCGCAAGGAGGCGCAGGATCTTGCGTCGAAATCCAATATCGCGGAGCAACACGTTTGCCGTGTTGAAAGTGAAGTTCAGGATGTCGGAAGACTCGCCTCGCTTAAGGCATTGCTTCAAAACAATTTCGAGAAAATCGATCCGCCGAGAAAGAATCGTCAAGCCGACGAGTTCCTTTATTTCCTCTACGCTCTCATTATTTTGTACCCACTGCTTGGTCAAATTCAAAAAGAGCGTTTCGAGACGCGGATCAACCTTCTTAAGTTCGCCTTCTTTCTGCTCCTCCTGTTTTTGCTGTTCTATATATTGATCAATGCAGCGGCTCAGAATGGTATCCGTAAAAAGGGACCTCTCCATTCCATCAAAAGCCTCTCCCGCCTGTAGAGCGTGGTGAACAGAGTCGTCGTAGGCACCAAGATGAAAATACACCTGCGAAGTCACCAGGGCCGCCAGTTTTCGAGTTTTGAGGCTCAAGCTTTCAGACTCTTGGAGCTCCTCAATTAGGGGTAAGTCCGCAGCTATCTCACACCAGAAAGTGTCCATCAAATCCACTAAACGCTTGAGTGCGAAAAAGATCACAGCCTCATTAGTTTCTCTGAGGAGAGCAAGTAATGCTTTTGCCGACAACATGATTGGTATGACCTTCTCGCGTGTATTTTCTTTTCAATAACTTTTTATTACCGATAGACTAGAAATGCGATGCCCGTGATAGTTATAAGTTGTGGTTAAACAGAAGGTGAGGCCTCCTAGAGCACCACAACAATAATCTGTCTAAGAATATAAATAAACTAGATAAAAAATATCTTTCCACACTCCACTCGATTATATAGTGAGATAATAGATGAAAGCGTGTAATAAGTAAATATCGAATATAAGTATATAAAAATATATAAATCTATATCGATATATATATTTTATATTGATATCAATAAATATAATCTATTTGTTTTAAAAGTCAATAGATCAAAGATGAGAACGAAAAAGCAAAGAACCAATAAAGAGATACAGAATAATTGTGGAAAAAGAATATGAGTTCCTTGTTAGCACAATATTGGACTGGGCGTAAACACCCTTAAAAGGAAAAGAAGTGGTCTGTCATTGTGTAATGTTAAATCCGAAAAGTCAGACACTTTAATCGTGTTAAGCGTAATAAAGAAAACCCAAAAAATGTATTTATTAAACTTCGAAACAACCATTTGTAAGACGAATCAGTGGATTTAGTAAGCCAAATTCAATAGTCATCTCAATCACTCGCTACAACTGTCGATCGAACCGTGCAACAAAAAATCCATTTGTGGCATCCACAACAGGATTACAACGAATTGTAAAGTCTATTGGAAAGCTATCGTCAGGCCTTCGGATGCCGCGCGTTTTCCAGGTATTAGGCATAATATTACTTAGCTGCCAACCTCGTTCCTGAACGCGGGAGTCCGAAAGGATTTGGCGCACGACCCCTTCGTTTTCCTCTTCATGCACGGAGCAGGTGGAGTACACCACGGTACGACAATGGTTAAAGGAAAGCAACGAGTGGGCGAGAAGTTTTCGCTGTAGCGAGGCGAGCTTCCTGACGCGCTCCGAATCGGAGGAAAAGGTATTGCTCTGCTCCTCCGGGTTAATTGTCCCTGCGCTTTCATAGGGTCCATTAGTGAGGGAATTATGGCTTGCATCGCCCTCCAACCTCGGTGTATCGTCCTTGGTTCGCTCCTCCCTGGGGTGATGTCGACGGTGGTGCATGAGGGCGACGTCGACGCGCGTCGTGACGCCGCTCGCACTGCAGCTTGGGTCGAGCAAAATCCCCTCCGTTGCCTCTCGGTCATCAGACGAAAGATTTAAAAAATCCATATTCACAACGTTGACGTAGTCCACCGCACTGAGGGTCTGCATCCTCCGCTGAAGCACCGTTGCTCGCCGTTCATCGCACTCGACCGCCATAATTTTAATATTGGGCGCCCCGAGCGCCGCCAGATGAGAGGTTTTATTCCCCGGCGCCGCGCAGGCATCAATGACGTACTCCAGAGGTGCCTTTTCCTCCTCGGCGGGCTTCCCCAAGGTCTTTTCAAAAGGCCTCACAACCGGAACGGCATCGAGCAAAACGCACGCAGGCAGACAGGAGGCGCGATCCTGGAGGACGAGCTGTCCACTTCGGACGGCAGGGTGGGCGTGGAGGTCGGTTCCGGGCGGGAAGACCAACAAAGAGGGAATTATGGGATCCACCGCGAAGTCGGGCAGGACGAGACGACGCGGCGCCCCAGCCCTCCGCCGGCGGGCCGGCTGGGATTCTGCCACAGCGTCTTCCGCCTCGCGTGAGCGCTTCACCCCAACTATACCCCCCTCCTCGCCCATGCCGGAACTCATTGAATGCCGAAGTCGCGTAATAAGCGTCTCGGCCTCGATCTTCAAGGTGTTAATACGCGCGTATCGCGGTACGCGCATGACCCCTTGCGAGGTGCCGGGGGCTGAATGCGTTTGCGCCCTACCGGCCTCTCCAGTGCCAAGTTTGTGGCTTCCTGGACGCCGGTTTGCATCCTTTCCCTCGTCCTCCTCGTCTGGGATGGTGCCGGCGCGGGGTGGAATGTGATGGTGTTTGTGAACCTGCCAATAAGCCTCACGCAGGTACGAGGCGGAGCTTTGGATCGCCGTGGCGGTGCTATCCCTCTTGGTATTCACGCCTTTGCCTAAAACGGTATCGTACGCCATGCACAACGCGAGCTCACGGTTTGCATTGGGGTAGTACTTGAAAAATTCTGAGACCGCCAAGACATCCTCAAGGAGCTCGTAGTGCCGTAGTGTTTCACAGACCACGGCGTAGGTTTGCCTTTTCTTCTGAATCTCCTTGCATAAACAAAGCGCCTTCGCAGTTCCATTGCCATTTCGGACGATACTAATGATCTCCACTGCTTGACGATATACGTCCATTATAATAAAAAAAGAGCAAAATGAAAATATAAACAGCTACTCAAACGCACAGATGCTGCGAAGAACTATTTTGGATTTGTATATTTTCCTTCGTCGAGTCTACTTTTTTCACCTTTTTTTATGAATGGCGTATATGCACGTGTGCCTATGGGTGTAGAGAAATTGGTATAACGGAATATGTAATAATAAGGAAAGTCAATTAATAATACAATTCTTTTCTGAAACTCAAAGGTATTATCGTCTGCCACTACACACTTTGCTGGTGAGTAACCAATCAAATAAATTCTATTCGTAGTATTTTTCTTCATGGTAAAAAGATACTCCCATTATATCTCCTTTTTTTTCAGTTCATTATTTTCCTATCGATAAAACTCTTTAATTAAACAAAATATTTTAAACACAAATGAGAATAAAATATGCTAATGTGTGAGTCTATGTGTTTTGCTTTGTCTAACTTAAGAATAATAAAGACTAAGAAAATCATTTAACAGAGCGATAGATGGGCTACGAAAAATGCTCCCAAATACGACAAGATTCTGTCTCTAAGCACACCCTCTTTAGATTTATTGAGATATCGCAATCAGATGAATCGTTCTCGGGGTTATTCTCTCTTACAGTAATAAGTGAACCTTGCTTCGATCGGGATTTCATCAACAGGCGACAAGACTTAAGCCACATCGGATTTAGAGCGAATAGAGTAGAACTTGCTGACATGTGAGAAGGATTCGTCTTTAAAGATTCCTCACGATGGTGACCTTCACCTCTACAGAGTAATTGACGTTGATTGATATACTCTGCAATAGCTCGAGCATTGCGTAGTGTAAAGCGAAGACCACGTTGGGTAAGAAATGCAGTATATTGTGAAATTGATGAGGACGCTTTATCTCGAGTTGGGAAAAAATCCGGTCCACGTAAACACAGAATAATCGATTGATTCAAACCGGCAACGCGGAGCGCCTGAACTGAAGCAAAGCCGTACCCCAAGAACTGCTTTTTCAGCACCTCGGATTTTGGCAAGAAGTGAGCATTTATTACTACGACTCCCCCCGGACGAAGACGCTGATGACAAAGCTCTAAAAGTTCCCGGGAATGTATCATAGTCTCAGAGTTGGGATCATAACAATCAAGAAAGATCATGTTATAATAGTCTACAGAAGATGAATCAGCGTTCTGGGACTTTTTAGGTTTAAGAAAGTTGAAGATGTCTTGGAGATAAATTCGATAACGAGGGCCTCGCGGATGGGGTTCACTAGCAAAAAATTCATCAGGCTTTTTCTTTAATGGAGCTATATCAGGGTTCGTGCTCGTAGGGTTCGCCTTGAATTTATCTTCATAACGAAGAGCCGGTGAAACAGCAGGCTGGAGAGGTGGCAGCTGATCATACGCCACGCAGGCCTCCAACACCACCGGCTCCACCTCCACCACATGCAACTTCACCACCGGAGAAAGAAGGGTATCCAAACACTGCCCTAAAACATTCCCCCCAAGGCCCAACACCAAAATTGCATCGGAATCTCGCATTGGGAGTAGATCCTCATCCCCCTCCCCACCTGTGAAGTGTAGCATCCCCTGTTGCCTTGGCCCTACCTTCTGCCTGGTTCGACTGTCCGAAGGCGAGGATGGGGCTACAGCGCTGTGACAAGGGCCCGCGAGCGCGGAAGCCGGGCCCCAACCCCCCTCCCTGGCATTCCACAGCGCGTAGGCCGTGAGCCCAAAGTGGATCATCTGTTTGGGATAGCACTCCAGCAGCGTGCCACGGCGCGGGTGAAGGATCGACTGCAGGGCAAAGGCCTCCCGACGGCGTGCCTGGAGGGCGTCAAGGTGCACAAAGTGCAGGCTCTGCGAGGTGAGGAGGGTCGTGGCGTGGTGGATCCCCAGTGGGAAGGATCCCCGACGGCCGGGACAGGGGCTGAGAGGGCTCCGTACAGACGACACCAGCACACCGGCAGAAGGCGGCTTCAGCTTCCCGTGCCGGCACCACCTCAGGCCCTGTGAACGGATCTGAGAAAGCAGCAGGGGTAGAATATGGGGCGCAGTGGGAGGGTCGTCCGCATCGGACAAAGAGTCCCGGCCGTCAATCACGAGCATCATCGGCTGACGATAAATTGTGACGCGAAGCTGGGTTTCGGCCCATATCATGTAGTACCCTTTGAGCACACGGCAGGGGGTGCAGGAAAGGACTGTCGTATGTGCAGGACCATTATAAGACGCGGAATAGAGATAACCGCAACATCCTCGGCTTAGCGCATCGGCAATAGAGGCGTCATCTAATTTTTTATTCTCGCTACGTTCACATTTGACTCTTGACTTTAGCCCATTATTTCCAAACGACTGTGTATCCTCCTGCAAGCGATCCACAATTGTTTTTCGTGTGCTTTTAAAGGGGAATAGATTCTTCATCGTTAAATTACGATAAAATATATAGCCCTTACCTTCTCCATTGATATCTAATTCCCCACGCGCAAACGCTCCTGGAGTATCTTCAGTTATTCCTTTATTGCTGATTCTATCGAAATAATGATGTGAGATGGCATCTGAAAAGTAATAACGTACTTCCTCTGATATGCATGAACTTGCGAAGAGGGTCAAGGCTAATAGTGGACTCTCACCCTGTACTATAAGGGATTCAGCACTCGTTGGTGACATAGAAAAGTTTGAACTAAAGGGAGTCTGAAGCACCTTTTTTTTGATGCATTCGAAGCGTCTCCAATCCAATCGATGGGTTTGCAAAGTTGAGTTAGAGGAAAAAAGGCCAAATTATGTTAAATGTTATCGCAATAAAAAACAAAAGTCTATAGTTTCTTATTAAATATGCGATGGATACATGCTCATTGAATAATAATAAAGAGTAATAAATATCCCTTTACTGAAATACCATTTGTTTGTTTTTGTCTATCGTTCAATAAAACTTAAAGGATGTAAAAAACTTTATTTCATCAACGAAAAAAATCATGATAAAAACGGTATTTGCCAAGAATCATTTGACAACATTATAGGCTTAAGATTTAATGATATAGAGAATATTTTGTTACTTGTGGGAAATGCAGATATATAAACCTCTCATAATTACCATTTTAAAAAGAACAGAAGAAAATTAATCAAGTACATCTAAGAAGGATTCCGAATAACAGAAATGAGCCTATTTTATTGTTTTAGATGAATGAGATATAAAAAAAAATAGGGCGGTAGAATAAGAAAGTTAAGACTATAAGCAAGTCCAGTCATACCGGCTTCAGTCTTAAACCACTAAACCACGTTGGAAAAGTTCAGCTAATCTCAAATAAAGAGTTAATAGGCTGCAATTCTATTAAAATTCTTCATGCATGTCAGCGTATCCTTGTGAACTGGGGATTTCTCTTCAAAGGTTTTTGAATGTCACTTCCTAATTCAACGTTAAATGCTCAGAAATCCCGAATAGTTTTACTTTTCTTATAAAAGTTAGACGCCATTCAATAATCCTTATTTTCTCACCCCTTTAGAGTAGTAGTTTCTTTCTGTTGAGACCATTAACTTTATATAATGAAAAGGATCTCTCTTTTCTGCTAATTACGAGATTGTTTCTTTGAGATTTCTCTTCAGAAACTTGGTATTAATGTCCCAAAGTCTTGAATATTCTACGGTAGGACTAAATTTTGAGTCTTAAAATTGACAGAATAGCATTAGAATACAATGAACACGACAAAAAAAAAAGAAAAGGAAAAACAAAATGAAACGTATGACACCAAAAAATTTTTCGGTGGATTCCAAGTTATAAATGTTAACTCCCTCCCCTTCTTCCCTCAAAAAATTGGAGGAAGTAATAAATGAATAATCTATCCATATCCTTAATGTATAGTGCCGATTCATAAAATACAGGAAAAGGAATACATATGTATAATTTCATTTTATAGGTACTCATTTGCCCAAACTTTGAGAGATCCGTCTCTTGCGCCTGAGACTAAAAATTGCTGATGCCGATCCCCACTGCCCGCCGAAGCGCCCTCCACACCCTGAATGGTCGCTATAGACAGAATCGCATCGCGATGATGGCGACTCGGCTCGGCGGTCGCCATCGCCACAACCCCTCCCGTCCCCCCCCCGACCTCCAGTGGAAAACGAGGGCGTTCGCGTATGAAGTAGCGCCACCCCGCGACCATCGTGGAGTCGCCTGGCGGGTCCTCCGAGGTTGGGTCGAGGACCGCGCCGGGGCCGC